TAACCCATTTAATTGGCGTGTATGGACATATTAACCATCTACTTTTACACACTTATTATAGACATATACAGAATTTCATCGTACCTTATTATTAAAAAAAATACCCGTGCAGATCCGGGTTAGAATAGGCCTTCAACAACCAATGCTTGTACAAAGGCGACTAACATAATCGGGTGGTCAGACTTGGTTGATGCATGTCAAGAACAGATTAAAATAATTTGTTTGTACTATCACATTTCAGTTTATTTAATTCATAATACGAAATTAATAATTCATTTATCACAGTGTAGATCATATTCGTTAATATCACTATCTGATGTTAAGGTTTTGTTACAGAAATTATTATGAATTCAAATTGTAGAAAGATACACAATTTGCTATTATTTGACTTTAAAACTATACAAAGTAAATTTTAATGATTAGAATGCCTGTAACGGGTAGTATTTAAGAAAGAAATATTGGTCGATTTGTCCCATTTTTCAGATATGCCCTTCAGTAGTATTATTGTATGTCTCCAGAGAGAGGTTTACATTGTAGTTCTCATTATTTGTGGATAATTCAAAAATATATATTCTACCATGACGAAAGAATACAGAGTATACAATAACTCGCAATTGTTCAAAAGAGATTTCAAATCACAATAACATATCTGATATAAACAGAGGTGGTAATGATTTAATCTCTACATTGTGCCCCTGTTCGTGAGCCCTTGTTCTATTCAGCAAACAGCCCAAACCCGAAACTCCGCAACATATCCGATTACACTGACCAAGTTCTCTATGCGATACTGACGCCCTAGTACCTCTCCCAGACCATAGAGAATAAATTTAAAAGGAATCCAGCTCAAGTCTAGATTGCCTCAATTCTATCCATGAAAGTAAGAATTAATAAAAAATATTGTTCTTGGCTGCTTCAGATTATATTTTGTAGATACATATTTTTAACTTCGAAAATTTTACTGACACCGGCACTGTCCCTATTGAACCTATTTATAGCTCAAAAAAGAATTTCGAATTGTTGTCCATTGTTCGATGTCAATACATCACAAGTGAGGATATCATATAGTAATCGTTGATGCCGCGCTACACTATAATAAAAATTATAATCAAGTTGACTAGTATGCACATTACTACAGTGAACATGTACATGATCATGCCCCCATAATCAAATGCCGTTATATCAAATACTCATATATTATTGTGTGATGAATTCAAGTGGATCAGTGGTAACATGTGATTTTAATATTCCATCAATTTCTTTCCTAGTTGGTCTATCCATGTCTACAAAATGAAAATAATACAATTAAAAAGAAGCACAGAACAATTTCTTAATTTCAGGCTGGAGCTGTTTTGGTCTCATGTTTACATTATTCTCTTGGGTCTCCGTCACAGCTCATACCACACAATAACAAGACCAGTTTGGCCCCCGCCGGAGCTCCTGGATTTTGGTTATATCATCTAACATGGCCAACTCTGCTCTTAAGTAAACAAGAACCTAATCAGCGAGGGGTCCTTTATCATCCCTATTTGACTGCTTATAAAAATCTGATATCTCTCCCCAAAGACCTGGTTAATAATATATTTTCTGCTGAATATTCGAAACAGAGTGAGTGAGTTTGTACTACATATGTATACGGTTTTATTTTAAATGACTGCAGCGCTCCATTATGAAAATAAATTGTTCTAACGCCGCTCTCAGCAGTATTCCAATGATATATGACGGCGGTCTGTTGTATAAGAAATAAATGCAAATTGAATCTTGAATCTTGAAAAAACTTTTCCGCAAATAAGTATCACATGCATTGCAGTATACAATATATCAACTGCAATATACTGTATACAACATGCAGTGTACAGTGTGTCGCGAGCTCTGCGCAGGGCTGGAGCACGCATTTCCTACCCCTCTCCCTTCGGCAAACATCTCACGGGGGTTGTAACGAGGTCACAGGTGTGCACTCGTCAGTTGTCTAATACGGTCAAGAGTAAGATCTTCCGGAAGACGACTGCACTAGAGGTATGTGGATTGTTGATGAGGTACTACGTGTTTGGAACTGGGAGTTGAACACTAAGCGCTTGTAGAGAGATCACAATAAAACGTTATGGACTCGCGGACGGACTTGTGTTTTTATTTCAAGACGTACATGTACATGATCATGCCCCCATAATCAAGGTTGAACTTCTATAACAAATATAACTTGGTTACCGCTCCCTAACTATAACATTAACTGAACTTTACGCTTTTTATACACATTTGTGAAGGGGCGACAATGCGACAACGTGACATATTTTGACCTTGAAAATGTCGCGTTACGGCATCGTCGCCCTTTTGTAAAATAAAGAAAAAGATTATTCAAAGAGCGACAATGTGACCACGCGACAATGCGACAAATGGCCAAAATGTCGCGTTGTCGAATTGTCGCACTTTTGTTAATTTTGACACGTTTTGCTTGTTTTTGTAAGGGCGTCAATGCGACAATACGACAACGCGACAATGTCTCTTCCATAGTGATCCATGCATATAAAACTGAGTTATGAAATAGAAGTCTAACATGCCAATTAAAAGATAAAGTGTTAAAATGCGCTATTGCAGCTTCTGATTTCATAGATCTTCAAGAAGGATTATCAATAATGGGATGGGTGATGAGTTCAACTGCATGCCGAGTCTATACGCTGTGATTAACAATAATGCTCTGAGTCAATACATTTTGTCAAATGTATGACATGTATTACCTGAAGGAACCTATTGTCTATACTCGTCCATGATTTTGACGGACAATATAATTTACATGCTCGGTAAAACTGAGGACGGGCATCATTGTGTGTTTCCGTGCTTTGTTCAGGTGAACATTTGACTTGTCCTTGCATGTGTTTGTGACGGGTGCCACTTGTGTGGCAGGATACGCTCACCTTTTCGCGAACACCCGTTGGGTGGCCTGAACCACTTCGGATTTATATCCCATATCAGTCTGATACACCGTGATATAACTGAAATACTGTTCAAAGTGGTGTTTAATGCGATCACCGTAGTGTGTTACTGCAACTGTCCAAATTTTGTGTAGTGATGTTATGTAATATGTAAAAGAAAGCATATTCAATTATCCAATTGATTTGAATAAAATATACTTGCGTCAGTGTATTTTATTAACGCCGTAAACCGTTATTCAAACACATATAATAACAGATCAATATCATCATATACACGCATGGTGCCTTGACTTACTCCTAGCTTTAATAGGCCATCCGGAATATAATAGTTCTCCCAAAAGCCAGGAACATCTGTTTTAGTTTGTTTACAAGAAATGTATTCCAAAATGTATCCTCATTAGATGAGAAGGTCTGTTACAGAATTACCTCAGTAAGTCAATCACAATGACTGATGGTCGTAATACATTTCCATCAAGTACAATACGTCAAAATGGCCGACACGATAAACGTGACGGGAGATATTTCCGAAGTTGTTAATTAACCTGTGGCTATTTCAAGCCTTTGTCATCACTGATCAATTGGCCGATCATTGAAAGGTGATCATTGTAAAGATGTGTCAAATAGATAGTATTACTAAGGTAAGTTCATAGATTGCTGTAGATTGTCACAACGATAGTTTGGATTATTGGGGTTTTTTTCGGTTTGTTTCTCTAGGATGGGTTGTAGCGAGGGTATCCTTGAACAGGCATGCAACCAAACTCTCTGACTTATCCCAGAGTAAGCTAAGACGCTATGTTCAAAATTCAAGGGTCTAAATTATGCGATACAACGCTTCTGTATGAATTCGTACTTGGGAATTCCCAGGGTTTTCTCCGGGAATGTGGAAGTAGTCAGTGTTTACATCATTTCAAGAATACAGTCACGTGAAAAACGTCATGTAAACGACCTCTCGTCCAATGGAAAAGCCGTATATCTTGTAAACTTTACATTAAAAAAATAGTTACTGTTATAACCAAATGAAACACAACCCATTATCCGATAGAGGTAACTGTGCATAGCGGAGGGATATGTTATCACAATAAACTTGGTGACATGGTTTGGTTTGACTTCTTGGCGCGTGTCTGAATTCCAGTTACATGTTACATATCCTAAAACTGGCTTATCAGCAAATCTCGCTGCACTGCGCGCGACAGATACTAGAGCAAGGCATGCCAGAAATATGAAACCTAAGCTTCCGAAAGGAAGCCTGAGGCATCACGTGCGTCGGGAGACCAGCGCCATTTGATTGGCCGTTAACAGTTGTACAAGGCGGAGCAAAAAGCATCGTTTTTCCGTCAATTTTACGCTTGAAAAACTCGACCCTTTTCCGGACACTTTCTAGACGCTCACCAATTAATCAATTTTAATTATTTTTTAGTCGTTTTTCCGTCCAATGACCATATACGGTAAAAAACAACGACGTTTTCGTGTTTGCAGTGTATGACGTCACAATACCAAGGTGACAATGGACAAATAACTTACGCCTTTACATTTAACTTAGGCGCGTATTTATGAATGAAATGTTGCTCTTTTTGAAACAATGTAGGTTCATGATCAAAATTTAGCTTATATAGAGGGAAAACTAAAAAGTTGCCGTTTCCACATGCTTCTAAATGTTCACTGAGTGGAAGAGTGCGGTTTGTGGCTGCTTTATTTGTGAACGGTGAAGATTCATTCTTCTTTTTAATTTAAGTTCTGTCTTTCCGATATACTTTTCATTGCATCCACTACAAACAATCAAGTAAATAACATTTCTAGTATCACAAGTCATATTTTGTTTTAGAGTAAATTTAGTGTCCTTTGTAATTTGGACTGAACAGCCTTCAATTATATTGCTGCAAGTCAGGCAACGTTTGTCACCGCACTTAGAAACCTGTGGAGTGATGACAACAGAATCAAATTTAGAACTTGTCAAAATCTTTCTAAGATTTTTGGGTTGTCTTTGGCTGTTGATAATTTTGTATTTGCTCAATATATATATATATATATATACCCTGAATGAAAGATATTGATATCCACACGTGTCACATGTTTCAGGTCACCCATTGGCATAGTCCCCGTTTCCATGGATACTTTGCTGCAGGAAGTTCGTATCCGTCCATCTTGGGTGACATGCTGGGTGATGCAATCGGCTGCATTGGCTTCTCATGGGTAAGTTCCTATTTGATGCAGTAAAGTCAACAATCTACGGAAACCCTGACGTTAAAAGGTTAGGCAAATATGTCATGTCCATCAATGTGAAAACAAAGTTACTTTCCTGTTAATATACACCAGATACCCTGCGCCGATCTGTTTTGTGGAACCCAGCAGGCCTCAATGAAACCGTACTGCTTGAATGAAAAAGTAATATTTTAGTCGGTGAACTTTTCATGATCTTATCCGCTACCCAAATAACACATATGATTTAAACAAACTGGGACATGGACATGACATGGCATTATTATTGTAATGCGACTTGAGTTTATAGATCTGCCGATCAAAAATCACCAACGTGAAATGACATGCAATACAATTAATATTCTTTCTTCCCGCCAGGTATGTTAATTAACCATTTTCTTCAATGAAAAAATCCAAAGTAGTTTAATGTACATAGCTATATTCAGCTTACATTCATATGTCAGAATATATACACGCTTACTGGATGTAGGCGACGAGCCCTTCTTGCACTGAGATAGAGATGGTGACAACAGACTGGCTGGGGAAAATGCTAGATCTGCCAGAGGAGTTTCTTCATCAGCATCACGGACCCGGCGGTGGCGTCATACAGGTAGGTCACGCAAGAGTGTTATAGGTCCATATGACGGATTTCGCAACGGTCTCATAAACGTAGGTTATACGGGAGTGTTATGCGCCAGTATTACGGATCCGGTGGCGGTATCATTCGGGTAGGTCATGCAAGATTGTTATGCGTCAATATGACAGACCTGCGGTGGTGTCACACAAGTTATCCATTTAAGTCAACATTGAGGACCTAACGGCGGCGGTGTCATACAGGTAGATTATGTCGGGGCGTTATACGTTAACATGACGGATTTCACCGCGGTGTCATAACTGTAGGGTGTCATACATTATACATCAACATTACGACGAGGACTGGCCGAACGCCTTTGATAACCCTGAATATGTCGCTTCCACACTGATGGACCAAGCAAAGGCCTTTCATTGCCCGCCTCAGAACCTGTTATTGGCGAGGCTGCAGGCATACAGGCTAACGAATGAGGCTACAGCACTACCTCAATAACAAGAAACGGCAGGTAAAACTGGGACCATATTGCAGCGACAGGCTAAACGTTAAGGGTGTCCCACAGGGTTCCATCTTTGGTCATATTTTATTTTATATTTTTATTAGTGATATATTTTACACTCTGGTTGAGCTTTCTTCATGAAATTAAACTGACAATACTTTGTCCTACTCGCACTCTGAGTCTGAAAAAGTCATCTGTGTCCTCAAGGAAGACTGTAAAACCTTCACTCTGAAGTCATTTGCTTATGATGCCTCATGAATCAGGAATCTCCTGCCGAATGATGTTCAAAAAGCTGAATCATATAGCGATTTCTGCAGGCTTCTTCGGAACTGTCCAGGCCTCATATGCAAATGCTCTGAATGTAAATATGACAAATATCCAGAAATATAAGTCATGCTTCAACAGTGAGTTCTTGCAATTGGCAGTGGTCATTGAGTGCAAGGAGACTGCTAAATAGCAACATATATGGAAATTGGGTAACCATGGACAAGACAACATTATGCAGTGTATGTAATGACTTTGAATACGTTTATGAAGCAGCACTGATTGTTCTGAGAATGCAGTAACTATGTACGCTTCTGTCGTTTGTGTTCCAGTCGACGGCGAGTGAGACAGTGTTCCTGTGCCTACTAGCAGCCAGGACCAAGCAGATCAATCGCCTGAGGGAACAAAATCCGAACCTCCAAAACATGGAAGTTATATCAAAACTAGTTGGCTACTCATCTGATCAGGTGAGAAAACGTCAGTTGTCAGTTAATTAGTCTTCAGTAATAATAGTTTATAATAGCCGACATGTCACCTTTGTGAGGCTGGCTAATCTAGTGCATTTAATCGATGACAAGTGTAAATATCGATCGCTGACATGGATAACACTCCTGAGAATATATCGATAGTTTCGGTAAATAAAAACAAAAGTCTAGTAACATACATATTTACTTCAATTCCCATTTTTTCTCACCACTTTGGCTTAATCATTCCTAATTAATTCATTTTGAATTTTAACATTGATATTACCGCCATGGAAGAAATTTCTTAGACACTATAGATATTCCACCAAAAATGTGAAGTTCTTTTTCAAAATATACTCAACAACACAAGTTCCTGTGCCACCAATATTTTTGTGTATTTTTCAAACAAGTAAAGTTTGGTTTTCAATATTGTAGTACATGTATGGAATCATGTCACAAAAACGCAACTGCTACAGAAAAGCATGCATTCCATGCAAAAGTTGACTCTTATGCAAACCCCATGCATTTCACTACCCAAGAATGGGTATAAAAACATGTGCGTTAACGAGATTCCATATGCATTGTTTAGCATCGTGCTGACAACAACCAATCAGAAAAACAACAAAATTACGCAATTATTCAACGAAATGCCACGCCTGTCCGAAAATGAGCGTCTGCGAGCCATTGGTATGCTTTAAGCAGGATCGAGTCAACGTGATGTTGCAAGACAATTAAACGTTCACAGAAACACCAGCAACAGTGACTGCAAGAAGCATCCCTGGCCTTCGACGAATATCTTCACAAACCGTACGTCGCCGCCTCAGATGTGCAGGGATTGTCGCCAGAAGACCCGCCAGACGTCCCATTTTGACAGGGAACCACCGTCAAGCACGTCTACAGTGGTGCAGACAGCGTCTACGCTGGACAGCCATGCAGTGGGGACAAGTTCTATTCACTGACGAGTCTCGTTTTCACCACAGCCACAGCGATGGACGGATTCGAGTGTACCGACGTCGAGGTGAACGTTACGTCAATCATTGTGTCATGGAAGATGATCGGTAGCGGCAGCGTGATGGTATGGGGTGGGATTACAGCAAGACAGAGGGCCCGTTTGATAGTAGTAGAGGGAAATCTCAATGGACAGCGCTACCGCGGCGAGATCATTGGCCCTGTTGTTCTACCGTTTTTGCGTCGTCATGGCCCAGTGATTACCTTTCAACATGACAACGCCCGGCCTCCTATTGCTCGACTTGTTCAGGATTCTCTCAACAAAACTACGTGAAGGTCATCCCCTGGCCGGCTCGCTCCCCTGATCTCTCACCAATCGAGCACATATGGGATGAGATGGATCGGCGCCTTCGACGTCAACTACGTGTTCCACAGACTCCGGGAACTTCGAAACATGCTTCAGCAGATATGGACAGATATCCCACAGGACTTTGTGCGACGCCTGGTCCATTCCATGAGACGAAGATGTGTTGCTTGCATCGCAACCAGAGGTGGACACACACGCTATTGATTTGTATATTGACATTTTGGCATGTTCATGTTTTTTTATGAAATCACGCATTTTCTGGAGTCAGTATGGCAAATTAACCCATTTGAACACTTACAGGAGTCTTTTATCTGTTGCAAACCGAAATTGTTTCAGATTTGGTAAAAAACATAACTTTGCATTGAATCTTATTCAATGTCACAGGAACTTTTGGTGTTCAGTAATCATTTCTCCACCGTATAATCTATGTATCAATGTCAACGCAATAGAACAACGAGCATTGATCACCCGCCGAAGCAGATCCCACCTGACGCAAAAGGAAAAACAGGCGTGAACAGGAATGGATCACTGATAATCAGTGATGACACCGGGTGTTTGCGAAAGAAAGAGTTGAACGATGACATGTGGTTTTTTCTGTAAAGTTAAAAGAAGATATATGTGTTCACTTTGAAAATACTGCTTAGATATCTAGCATGACGGGTACCAAGAGATACATCAAGTATAGAAACATTTAAGGCAAGGAAAAACAAAAACATTATTATGTTTGAAAAGAAATCGTTACCGTTGTTAATAGTTTACAATTGTTTACATGACTACATTAGAACGTGTCTGAAAACCCTCATAATCTTTTACCTTTGTTTCCTTGACTGTATGTGTTCTGCTGTAAACACCACTGATGCTGATTGTCATAGTATGTCCTACCTATGTACCTTTGCTTTTGTTGGAAATAAACAGTAAACTGGACAAAATCATTTCGCGTGTAGTGAGAAAAATCATAAGTTTACATCTTAACATTTCTACCTCATTTTAACACCCGACACCATGTCGAGACTGCTAGCAAATCTTCATTGTCGGAAAGTAAAGACGATCGGAATACAATACGTAATGCTGATGCTATTATTGCTCACCTATTGTCATGGTATCGCAGTAATGTTTTAACTATCGCAGTAAGAATGCCACACAACTGCCCTCAGTCATCAGCCCTACTCTCTCACCAGGCCAACTCCTCTGTCCACCGGGCGGGGCTCCTGGGGGAGGTGAAGATGAGGAAGCTCCCGTCGGATGAGAACTACAGTCTTAGGGGGGAGACACTGAAGGCGGCCATACAGGAAGACAGGGCGAAAGGACTGCTGCCTTTCTTTGTGAGTATCTAGGATTGGAGGGGCGGCCGTCCCAGTTGACAGAGAAATTGTTGCTGAACCATGCGTCATCATTTTCCGATTTGCTTCTTCAAAGGGGTCTGTTTATTTGTCACGTTGTTTAAGAATCATTTGCTACATTCATAACTTATAGCGATGACAAAACGAAATCATTATGTTAAATAAGTACATATATACAGTTTCTTTCAATCCACTTACAAGACATAGGATATTGGTGTCATGCTCGTAATCGTGTGATTCACAAAATTGGTTATATCCTCTACCATTTGGGGGTTGACGTCGGCTTTCCTCCTTCATTAAACTGACACGCCGTGATCTACTTACACTTACTCACTCACTCACTCACTTACTCACTCACTGGTCTTTTTTCTAGGTGTGCGCCTCCTTAGGAACAACTGGGACATGTGCTTTCGACAACCTGGAAGAGATTGGTCCCATATGTGAGTTCATGATTCTATTTCCTGAGGCCGTGTACGCAGTATGCGTCAAGAGCGAACAACGATAAAGATGTTGGAATCTAGTTGTTTGTCCATGAGATTTCTCCTGGTATGGTACTTGTTACCCTGCCAGGCATCGGCATTAACGGGGTTAAACAAGGAGTGGTCGGTTATCCTGTGTATGAGTGAGGGGTCCAGGACAAACTGTGGTCTCCCACTACAAACCCGGCTGTAGTCTGGACAAGTACAAACAGCCACACACACTGCATGTTATATAAATGCAATAACCTTGAACGTGGCGTTAAACCCATTTCATCTTCTCTCTCTGTCTCTCAATATATTGAAATTTCGTAATATCATAACGTTAAGTAAAACATGACGATGCTCTCTCATTCTTCACGGATTGTTGGTATTGTGTGGTGGCAAACTAAACAGAAACCTGTTGAAAATACACGTTTCAAGCTATTTCAAAACGTACTTGTTCCGACTATTCCTTCACTTTGAGACGTTGCTGGCATAGAGTATATTACGCTATGACAAGCAAGGGTTATCAGCAGTAACATTCATCTCCTCTTGAACCTAACCTGAAACATGACCTGGCATGAATTGGTTAGTACGCAACACACCGAATGATTTATTTAAAATGATAGAGTAAATCTTGGTGTGGAGTGTACGTAAAACTGACAAGTGGATGACAAGAGAATCTTACATGATAAACCAACATTTCAGGTCAGGAGGAGGGTATATGGCTACACATTGATGCTGCTTATGCCGGGAGTGCCTTCGTCTGTCCCGAGTTCAGGTCTTATATGAAGGGTGTCGAGGTAAGGACGGTTTCTTGAATGTTTTCATTAAAAGGAGCTATACAGCGATAGATCCTAACTGCATTACCACTAGTCCTTATAATAACATCCATCAAAACCTTTGATAATGGCAAATTTCTACTAGTCCTTGTGATACCTTGACTATTTGGCAGTTTGGCAAGGACTATAGAACTAGTGCTCATTTCTAACGCTGCAATAGCAATTTTCCTACGATAAAAATAAAATATGAACCTCACACGTTTGACGGCATTTTAACTTCAACGTCGAATAACATGAACAGAAGTAAATTGTTTCATATTTTTGTATACTGTTGGCATTCCTCGTTATGTTGTTTCAGTATGCCGAAACTTTCAGCATGAACCCTCACAAATGGATGTTATGCAACTTTGATCTATCAGTAATGTGGTAAGAAGAAGGACATTATCTGACTGATATTTTATTTTAAACCCCGCCTTTCATACAAAGTAACCGACCCTTTAGTATGGGGGGCTACAATGCTTTACGAGATGCCACGGACAAAAAAGGATGGGCTGGTACACCAAGTGTGCGCGTGTGTAACTAATTTATACCTTACTACCCTTCGTTGGGCATATATAATTTACTTTTCCACTTAAATTGACGTTATGTATAACATGCTTCAATAGCAACATTGAATTGATTCACGTCTTGAATGTTAGGAAGTCATGTAGGAAATAAACCTGGCAATATCAACATGGAAAATATTATATAAATGTAAAGGAGAGGTGTTATGTTAAACACTTAAGACGAATGAAACCATGGCAACAACAGCGGAAGCCTGGACAATACCACAATTTCAATCACCAGCAATTCCATCTTTTCTACAGTTCAAATATTAAAATCTTTAAATCAATAATTGTATTAGGACGCGTACGTCATAAATGGCGTTACATTTGTTCGTTACATTATTTGTGTTGCTACATCTAATATGGTTTATATCTTTAATGTATAATATGTTAATAGAAAAATGTCATTGTATCGGACCTTAATATTACTTTATTTTATATCCATGTTTGTTTTTCGTGAAGTTGGCCCAAAATACAACATTGCGAGATAATGTTTGTTTACTTGACAAGTGTAACCTTCATAAGGTTAGCAAGATTACATCTAAAGAACGACTGCCTGTATGTCCTAAAATTTGGACCATGTGTAAACCTTTGGTTGATATAATGATCCACGTGTTGGTTGATTTCCGTCAGAAACAGTCAGGTTAACAAAAGGCACATGGTACGGTAACCGGTGTCCCTCGTTACCAGACGAGGTCCTCAAACATTGCGCCGCGATATAACTGGAATACTGTTAAAAGCGGCGTAAAACTCACTCACTCACTCACCTCAAACACTGACATGTAATATCACGAATATTCCGTGTTCTTGAGACATGATATAAGAAAAGTTCCCACACCGATCATATTTTTGGGAAAATACTACTTTACTTCTATAACGCTGTCTCTGTGAGAATTCCGGGGAGGGGGCACTGGTCGTCAGTAACCTAAAGTATGCTTGTCGCAAGTGCAGATTTAAAGGGGCGGGGTGGTCATACTCTGGGACATGTCTTGTTGTGTCACATCGTGCCCTGATTAAGTGGATCGGTGCTCATGATTTTCATTGACGGGTTTACCTGGTCCAAACTCAATTATTTAAGGTTGCTGTGATGTACTTGGAATATTGCTGTGATATTTAATACTCATTCGTTGTTTTAGGATCAAGGACAGGGCGTTGCTGGTGGACGCCTTCAACGTGGACCCAATATACCTCAAACACCAAGACCAGGGCAAGGTGCCCGATTACAGGGTAGGACCATCCTTTCTCCTCTGAGTTAACACACGGGAATGTCTCCGCTACAGTCTACACCACATCACATTTCATTTAAAAAATTGTGGGCACTGGTAGGCTTATCGTCTAAGGTCCTGCTCTTCGTACGTTAAGGTGTGCCAGAAAACAATCCCACATTCGCCCGATTATGTTTCCAGATTTCACCGACCCGTGAAGATCCGGGGTAGAATAGATCTTCAGCAACCCATGCTTGCCGTAAAAGGCGACTATGCTTGTCGTAAAAAGCGACTAACGGGATCGGGTGGTCAGGCTCGCTGACTTGGTTGATGCATGTCATCGATCCCAATTGCGTGGATCGATGCTCTTGATATTAATCACTGGATTGTCTAGTCTAGACTCGATTATTTACAGACCGCCGTCATATAGCTTGAATATTGCTGAGTGCGGCGTTAAACAACAAACCAACCAACCAACCAGATTTCACCAAAGTGCTTATCGTCAAAGACCTGCATCACTTTGAGCTTTCCTCCCTCAACCTAACAAGCCGCGATATTACTGAATGCTGTTCTAAGCGCAGTTGAATGCAAACTTAGTCACTAATTCTGTTCCAAATATATCATGTTTCTTCATGGAATAAAATAAGTGGAAGATTATGTTTATTTTGATGAAATATATAGTATCACATTGACTGTTTCACAATTATGTCTTCTTGTCAAGTATTATTTGAAATGATGCGAAAAGCGGTCCGTTGAAATCAGTGTAATAATTAATGTTTTGAATATTCCTTGATGTTTCAGCATTGGCAGATTCCTCTCGGCAGAAGATTCCGATCCCTCAAACTCTGGTTCGTCATCAGGTCGTATGGAGTGTCTGGCATAAGACAGTACATACGAAAGGTACATGCTGAACACGTCATTTTCATTTGTATCTTGTATAATAATAATAATAATATTGTTTGCTGCTCAGGACCCGTCAATTCCCACTCGAAACCGTCAATGTGTGAATCGGCATCAAAATGTAAATATGAAATGTAGATTATGCAATGAATTTAATGAGACTGGCCAACACATTGTCAGTGGATGTCCAGCTGTGGCACAAACACAGTATCTAAAGCGACATGATGGAATGGCTCGATCCTTGTATTACCGTCTTCGCAATGCTTGTGGTTTTGACACAGAGGTCCATCCATGATACGACCCGGAATATGTAGAGGGCGTCATGGGAAATGGTACATACAAAAATCTTTGGAATAGGCCCGTTTACAGGCTTTCGTTTTCAGGGCAACAAACCTGATCTTGTCCTTTTTGATAAATCCAATGAAATCATTTAAATCATTAATCAATTTTCTGACCCTTTTGACACTAATGTGATTGTCAAGATTGATGAAAAACATGGCAAATATGCGGACCTCGCGTTCGAAATGTCACGCTTGCATCCCGATAACCAAGTTGTCCGACTCCCCATTGTTCTCGGTGCCTTAGGTTTGGTACATCCCAATCTCTTGACTGACATTGGTAGAGTACCCGGGTTTGCTACCAGGAATACAGCCCTTCTGACAATCTGGGTAATGCAGAAGGCTGCAGTGTTGGGGAGTCTTCACATTCTCCGAAAAGTTCTGGGTGGGTTTGACTAAGCAGCGCTTCCTGGGAGAAGTCCCATTCGCTGTCTGGGCTACGTGTAGAGGGGGCAAGGGCTCTGAGCTGATAATGAATCTAACCAGCCTGACTATGCCAGGATCACCCAAACCCTCTTTGCTGCATTTTTTATTTTAATCTGTAAATAATAATAATAATAATAATAATAATAATAATAATTAAGGAATCTATGGAGATATTGGAATTAATCTGAATCATGTTTTACAGCACGTGAGTCTTGCTAAAGAGTTCGAGAGTATGGTGAGCCAAGATGACCGCTTTGAGATTGTGGCCGAAGTTATTATGGGATTGGTCTGCTTCCGGTTAAAGGTAACTCTCCTGTCTCGATAACACAAGAGTCTATTTAAGTGAGTGAGTGAGATGTGTTCAAAGCTGCTTAGAACAGTATTTCAGTTATATCAAGCTGATGTCAGCTTGATGTGGATGGAAACCCCGAAGTGTTGAGGACCTTTTTGGTGAAACCCACGAGCGCAAGTATGGTGCTTACAAACCTAGATTTAAAAACAATATCTGTTTGACGCCGCACTTAGCAATATTTGTCAAGAAGTGCTAATTGTAGTGCCCAATGGTTCCATTGACGATAATGGAATTAACTTGAAACAGATGAAAATACTTTGAGGATGATAAGTGGTTTCAGTTTACAAATTGCTATGTCATACATGAATGTAATCAGGGAATATCATCATTCCTCGAAACTCATTCCGCATTACTTTTTTCTAAAGGGACCAAATCGAATGACAGAACTCCTTCATGATGAGATAGTAACAGACGGCCGGATATACATCATCCCCGCCATTGCCAGAGACGTCTACTATCTGCGATTGGCTGTATGCGCACAGGCAACCACTTCCGATGATATAAGGTTCACGTTCAACGTGTTCTTGGAATGTACAGAACGTGTTCTGGGCAAGTTCAATGAAAAGAACGGCGTAAACTACAGGCCGATGATCGACATAGACGGACCATTACCTAAATATGTTACACCAACCACCACTGATGTTGTTGAAGATCATACTTCTAAAAAGATGTAGAGAACTGCTGACACAGGGGAACTTATAACCACGAATGGATGGATATGATGGTGATGCTGACATACTAATCATATTGTAATTGTCATCCTAATCCTGTATGGTGACAGAGCGTCCGCTGTGACAGTGAACAATTGCATTGTACATTACATAATGATCCGGTGTAGAATTCGTCTTCAGCAACCAGGGCTTGCAAAAGGCGACGAACGGGATTTTGATACCTCCGACGTCCTGCTGGGCCTCGTTCCTCAATGCTACAGTAGCGCTAAGATGATCGTACATACTACATAGACTTACCACATTCCCAGCAGTACCATCGCTTGTGGAACTGGGCCCTGAGCGCGGCGTAAAACAACAAACATATATTCATTAGTTTTGTTTAGCTTTGTTTGATTTTACAATGGACTTATTATGACTTCGTCTTTGCAACCAGTCCCTGGAAGATGTGCCTTTGCAGAAAAAAAAGAATTCTGAAATCTTTTATATCTTTATATCAAAATATATGATGTAATGTGCCTTTTTATGCAAACAAGACTGGTAATTAAATGAGAGGTGTAGATGCTTTGTGATGCAAACAAGTGGAAATACTAACCTGCATCATACTTGACATAACAAGCCTCATCTGTGTAGCAGAAATGATCGAAAATAAATATTATATGTTAATGAGAATTAGAGACTGATCAGAACATTTAGTTAAAGGGTTGAGCGAAATACCACATTTCTGGTTCATAGTTAACACATCATTTGCAAACAAAACACGTGATATATTTAGAAGGAGCAGTACTAACCCGTACCGTTGAATTGTCAGCAGAAGTGTCAAAACATAGATGTAGAGGTTGGTAAAACCTGGCAGAGAGTTGTTTCAGAATCTTCCAGGGACTGATATTCATTCCCTTTGAAGACATGGACCACGTCTCTGTTGTTTCTTTATTGTTGTTTCTTTGTTGTTTCTTCAAGAGTCGACCGCCTATGTGGTCTAGTGGTAGAGCATCCGCCCGGAGAGCGGAAGGTCCGGGGTTCGATCCCCGGCAAAAAACAGGTTAAAAGTTAGTACTTGTTGTTACCTTGCCTGACGATCGGCATTAAGGGGCTAAAAGAAGGACTGGTCGGCTCGGAGTCTGAGTATACTGTGTCTGAGTGGGGTATTCATGTTAAACTGCGGCATGATATCTCAGTGGAATAACACTCTAACTTGGCATCAGTCCGGACTAGTACAAGCAGCAACACATTGCACGTCGCTATATATAAGTGCAATGATCTTGGACGCGACGGTAAACCCCATTTCACCTCACCTTCTTCAAGAGTCATTGCCTTTGTCAGGTGATTATGGATTAAGTATTTTCATCTGGCATCTGTACATGTTTTCATCCTCCACTTGGGCATCACGAGGCGAGTAAATAGTTCGTGATGCACGGTGATTTGGTTGATTGCGAATCACCGTACTCCGACGGCATTGGACTTTGCTAATAATATTAATCACTGGTTTGTCTGATGCAGACACGATTATTTTCAGGTCGTCGTCATATCGCTTTAAAGTTGCTGAGTGCGGCGGCTTTCAACAAGAAACAACCACTTATGTTACACCCATAGATCAATTGAAAACGCACAAAATATTGATGTCATTATATTTTATTTCCACCCTTTCTGACTACCATGAATAATTATGTATATATTTATAGTAAAGTATTTTATCGTGTATCCTTCTTTTGTTCTTCTATGCACAATAGTCAACAAATGAGGAGGATTTGGGTTCACATAAAACACGAATTGTGCCAACTCAACCGTTCTATTTACATATCAAAATAAGAGTCAATCAACACATCACTTCATGTGTTACAGTAGGTGGTGGGGGCGAATAATCAGATAGACGATATTGGCACCATTACAATTCCTCGTTTGAGAGAACAAATGATTTGAGGAAGCAAGGTTCATGGTTGTATGGTAAAACAAACTGCTAAATCAATTATTGTTAAACTTTCCTAACAATTCTAATATCAGTAATACTATATTAATGAATGAGTTCATGAAAGAGGGAATATGGCTTTTATCAATATTCCCAGCAATATCAGGGCGGGGGAGTCCAGAAATGGGCTTCACACGTTGTACCGATGTGTGAATTAGAACCTAGGATTGCGTCGTTACGAGCGAACTATTTAACCACAAGACTACCCCACCATCCTCTATTTTAATTTTTTTTCTGCTGTCAGGTTCAGTGATCTGCGTAATATATGTCATTTATTCGTATTCACAGCTGTTGGAAAGGAAAGGCTTTTTTCAAATTGTAAAGTTTGTTCGTGATTGCCAATTGCACTCTATATGATTAATTAAACTCTATATGAAACGTATTGCTCTTCAAATTATTGCCTGAGCTGACTTGTATTTGGCGTGTTCAAGGGGCGCACCTCAGGCTGCCCTGGCATTATATACAATCATACTTCGAGACAACCCAAGGAACAACAGCCCAAGGACTTGACACATAATCTTATCAAACACAGATAGTTCCATTGTCAAACATCTGCTGTTTGCCATTGGTCACTCGTATTAGTACCGGTATGAAGTTGAGTCTTGTATTCGCGATTCTTGCATGCCAGCTACCAGGTAAGTTTTTTCTCTGCATCCGTAACATTAAACCTTTTTTGACAATATCCTAGTCATTATATAATCACAAGTGTTCTTAAAGAAATTTTCTGGTTGTGGTTTTGTCTATTTACTGTCGTCATACTGTAGATTTCAACGATTCACAAAATGGTCATTGAATATCGTTGAAGTGGTAAAACCAATATTCAGTCTCACCCAAAATCTTTCCACAAGTTGGAAACTGCAAATGATTATAATGGGGAGTAAACACTCATATTCATTTATTCAATTCCCAGTATGTGCTGCTTACATAAAGTTTGCTGCTTACTACCAAGACCATATGGTTCTACAAAGAGGTCCCAAACATGCGGTGGTTTGGGGAACTTCGAATAAGATTGGAGAAGCCGTGACAGTTGAAGTCAGTGGTGGTCATGGTAACGTATCTACCACGGTCGTTGCTGATCCTGATGGAGAGTTGGACGGTGTGTGGACAGTGAAGCTCCCTGCAATAACGGACCCCGGACCTTTCACTGTAACAGCTTCTTACAGATGGGGAAATGTCTCAATTCAGGATGTACTTTTTGGCGATGTGTGGATTTGTTCCGGACAAAGCAACATGAATTTTTACGTCAGCCGGGTACAGCTAATATTACACGATTCACTATGTTAATATCCTTGTTTCTAAACTGATCTTTGAAGAATAGAAATTGGAAGATTTTTTTTAAATACATGAATAGAAGATTTATATTAAATTCTCAAGCTGCAGAAGTCACATATGCCTATGAATTTTGAATCCAACTAATCTTATATATATTCCTTCCTATATTTGTCATTTTAATCTTGATAATTTAAAACAAATAATAATAATATCTGTTCAGCTATTTGACCCCGCAAAAGTTGTAGCAGAGGCAGAAAGGTACCACGATATCCGTGTATTCAGAACACACACTCTTGAATCCAACACCACCTTCCACAACCTCCATGGCTCTGCACTCCACTGGTCAAAGCCATCACAAGGTGAACCAATGTTATATTTGGTCTAGACTTAGTAACACAGCGTGAACATGAATATCGTGAGTTATATTTCTCTGTCAGTTTAAAGCACGTCTGTGACGCCACTCCATTGCTGAAAGAATCCGTTATTTTCACGAATGGGCAGTTGGTTTTCAATAGTTTTTACCAACATTATCCCATATTACAATTGGTGTACTCTTGAAATTAACAGCACTAGTTCTTCTTCTTCAAGTGAATGAGTTCAAATTTTGTTGGAAAATATATGTCACCAGTTTGGCTCGAACCCGCATTGTATGATTTGAGAATTGTAATTATCAATGATCACGGTGTGAAATTAAACTATTTAATATTTTCAAATATTTGTATAACCCTTAAAAGCTTAGATGATACTATTTAAAAACATTGTGTTACATTATGCTACCTATAATGTTGTTCATGTTAAAGGAATGAGATACTTTTTTATGAGCAAAGCTCTCTTCAAGATATTTCTAAGATCGCCGTCAGCATGTTGATCGCCGTCTAACATGCATTGTGAAGATCAACCCGACGGAACTTGGCGAACATCAATCGGTAGCGGAGAACATTTCACGTGCATCATGCGGGCGACTCACACCCCATAAATACAAAATACAAAGAGTCCTACTAGCTTGTTTCAAATATTTTACACAATAGACTGTTTCGTCAAAGTCCAGAAGTAGGGAACTTGTGTATTTTAAGTTTAAGAAAGTAGGGGTTTTATAAGTCAGCGTACATACTCGGAACTGTCGGTTCGTGAACAAGAATTGCCATGTTTTCATTAACTGAGTGAACAAAAGTTGTATTCCAAAAATATAATATTGAAACCTGGCTACTTTACTACTCAGTAGCAATCACTGGATTGTCCGGTTCAGACTCGATTATTTACCGCCGTCATATAGCTGGAAGATTGCTGAGTGCGGCGTTAAACAACAAAGGACAAAAGGAATACTCAGTAGACAAAACCAAAACGGTATTTAATCCATGATGCGAAATATATTGTGCATATATTTAACATTTATAAAACTAACTTGCTATAAAGTTTACTTTTTCTAACAGCATCTCTCCAACTGTTTTCTGCTGTATGTTGGCTGTACGCCCAGTACCTCTACCCTCACCGCAAGTATCCTCTTGGTATGGTGGAATCTGCCTGGGGAGGGACGTCCATCGAGGCATGGTCGTCACCTGATGCTCTCGCGAAGTGTCCAGTGAAAACAAAGAGGTAATACGTTTTAAGTTTCAAGTAAATCATTGATATGATGTGTCATGGTAATTCAAACATGATTATATTTAAATAATTTTCAATATGTTTTTGTCATATGTATACAGCCTGACTGTCTTCAAAATCTGATTTCTTAAATATATGTACCATAACAGTAAACCGACACACCTTATTTTGATTTAATGTATGAAATTAAATTGTAACCTTTATTTCTCAAAGAGGACCGAATTCAGACAACGTCCTCTGGAACTCTATGATGAATCCTTTCACTTACATGACAATCTATGGCGTCCTGTGGTATCAAGGTTTATCCTTTTTGCCTTTTAAAAACTTCTCAATAACAAATATTTCCATAATTATAACTACGACCATAAAGATATTAACACATTGTAATTATATGGAGTGATCTGGATGTTTTGTTCACCAGATTAACTCCAGTTACAATTAGATAACACATTGGAAGAATCGATCTTAATAGTTTAACAAGGTTAATACTTTTTTGTCTAGTCCAGCATCGTGTATCAACGACAAATATTGCTTAAATGTTATTATTCTATTACTTAATGTGAAGTTATATATAAGTTCAAAGAATGTATACATATATTTATACATTTCTTCAGGAGAAAACAATGCCCATCACCCTGATCGCTATGCTTGTGAGTTCCCTGCCATGATAGCCGACTGGAGGAGTAAGTTCCATCAAAGATCTTTGGGAGAGACAGAAGCTGATTTCCCCTTCGGATTTGTTCAGGTAACAATATTTATGCATCGATATACTTGAAACCAAATGTACATGTATGTGTCAAAACTATTCATCTGCCAATCACCCATCCAGTTTAATCGCTACTACAGGCGATTGCAGTTAAAAATCTGTCATCTCAATGGTGTCAAATTAAAATGGCGAATCTTTTCTTATGTAAATCTTAAATGATATGCGCATAATGCGAAAATCACAACGGTAAATATGTAGTCATAATCTAATTTTAAGTTATGAGTATTCACATGATTTTATAATCCTTTGTTTTGATTTGAATATTTGAAAAATATGTCGGAGTCGAAGAGCCGACTCTGCTTTTAACAGACATTTTATTCTATTGAAAGTGAGGTCGCTTTTGTTCACGTTTTGTTGTGTTCTTTAACCCTTACACACATGTACTGTACATGTAGAGGTTACTAGTTGTGAAATGGGATTTAATTGTATGTTACATATGTATAATATAGGTTGGCAGGTCTTTTAAGCTTATCTGACAAATGTTGTAATATAATAAGTTGTCTACATACATTATCAATTCCTGCTCTGTTGTCAGCTTGCTGCCAATAATAATGTTACGTACGTCGGCTCTTTTCCTCAACTACGTTGGGCACAAACGGCTAACCTCGGACGTGCACCTAATTCCAAAATGCTCAACACGTTCATGGCAGTCGCCATGGACTTACCGGATTTCGCATCTCCATACGGGACGTACGTTAATATATCAATTTATTACACTTGATTGACCACTTGATTGTCTTGTCGAGACTCGAATATTTACATGCTACCGTGTTACAGCTGGAATATTGCGGACTGTGACGTAGAACAAGAAACACACACATCCAGGGCTTAAGTTGTTGTTGCTGATACGTGTATCTCATTCAACAGTATCCATCCTCGTTACAAGGAAGACGTGGCAAGGAGACTGTTGTTAGCAGGGAGGGCTGTGGCCTACAAAGAGACGGGTCTGGATTTCCAAGGTCCTTTTCCATCCGGTTTTGGTGTCAACGATAAAGTTCAACTTCTTAACATTGAATTCAGTTCGGGACACACGCCAATTGAAGTCAGGAATAAAGACGGATTTGAGGTAAATGATCGCATTCTGACACAAGTTTATAACAAATGCATTTAAGGCTTTATTTAGAAACAGACGAAATTCAAATTTCAAGTCTACAACTAGTTCATGTTGTCATCACTTGATATGTAAGTTAACCCTTTTGGGTCAAGATACAATGAAAATGTCTTAACTGGAGAGATTTTATCATTATCCATGTTATGTATTAACAGGGCTTAGGAACACATAGCAAAAACATTTGCAAACAGTCGTGTATAGATTCCCCGACATAATGAAGGAATATTTTGTTTTGCTGAGTCAGCGACACATAATTCACTTCCGTATACACATTAATCAGACTTCGATCCAACAGGTTTGTTGCTCAAGTTCAAGGACTACGACGTGTGGTGCTCATGACGTGTGGGTTCGTGCGCCAATCACGACGCACGACATAAAGTCTGTGACTGTGTCAACATCCGGCTGTGGTAGTCGCCATCTTGTTGGCCTCCGTTACGAATGGCGGACCAGCCCTTGTCCGCTGAGGAAGTGTGCCGTGTATGGGAGAGACAACGACTTGCCAGCTCCCCCCTACATCAGGAGCCACGCCTTCACTGATAGCTCGTCCCACATCATTGGATAGGCCTTGTTACTTTAAAGATGGGATTTTCAGTTGACAATATAACATTCGTTGTATACGTTATGCAATATTGTACAATGTCACCTTGACAGTTGGATCGACAAGCACAATATAAACTAAATATCTGGTTTCAACTTGCATAAAGGCAACGGATGTTAAGTGTGTTTGCAAAACCATAACTAAAACAAAACTCAAAACAGAAACAATAATCCAACAGAAAGCGATACCACGCTTCTGTGATGTTGTGCATCGTTGGTCGAATCCGAGATTCACACTGATTACGTTCTTTTGTTTGTCGGCTACACACCCGTGCTCGTTCAAATCGTCGGAGAACTGCGTCACTTTCCAACCAAATTAGACTCGTGAAGATTCCGGAGTAGAATAGGTTTTCAGCAACCCATGCTTGCCGTAAAAAGCGACTATGCTTGTCGTAAAAGGCGACTAACGGGATCGGGTGGTCAGGCTCGCTGACTTGGTTGATGCATGTTATTGATCCCAATTACGTGGATCGATGCTCATGATGTCAATCACTGGATTGTCTGGTCCAGACTCGATTATTTACAGACCGCCGTCATATATATAGCTGGAATATTGCCGAGTGCGACGTTAAACACCCAGCAAACAAACATAATTCATTGCTCTTTTCGTGTGCATCGTATACATATTCACTCTTTAAGCAGTGAAATTAATATCCCTGGAATCGTTTTATTCTCTTATAAGTCTATGTAAATGTTACGCAAACAAGATACCTGTCCATTTCTGTGACAAGGCAATGGTGTTGCCTTATAGTCAAGTTAAATTGTTTGCTCGTCAGGCCCAAGAACTATGTTCGATTTCCCAGACGGCAACATGTTTTTTGATATTGCCATTACAGCAAAAACCCTACTCAACCACTTACTTGATAGTCATAATTGAGGCAGTTACTGAATGCTGAGTTTAAAATATAATTAGACTTTTCCTGTCCCCATGAATACAAAACATTGCATTGCCTTACGTTTGTTCTTGATGGTGTCTCACAAACAACAATATATATAGATTACGACAGCAAATAAACATTTTGACATTTTGAAAAACGTACACCATTGATTACTTTACATTTTACTTGACTTGTATGCATTACTTACAATCAATTTCCACGGCAAAAGCCTTGACATCACACCATAATAATCCTATACTAGGTTCAACTGTTTTCTTGCAAGGATGATCAATTAATTACCTAAATAAGTGGTAGATACAAAAGAAATGTACATCATAATTCTTGTACCAGTTCATCATGTAAATAAACAATTTAAACATTACTGTAAAACAACTGTAATATTCACAAAAGGCAGCCATTCACATAAACACCAGATTAGGACACCAGGGACACTGATATCACATTAAAATCTATATCACATATTTGCAGCATGTCAGTACTGTCCTACAAGTAAAACATTCTGATAACAATACTAATACCTTGGCTACTCTAACTCCAATAATCTTTAATACAATTGCAATTCATGTCAGTTCAAATGGCCTCCGTGGGGTGGGCTAGACAGAGAAACCTATGTGTGTTGTACGAGGCGATTAAATGGATCGGGTGGTCAAGCTCGGTAACATTTCTTATCTTGTATCATCGCACACGGATGACGTTGAAACGTTGTTCATGATATGAATCATCAGTTTGTCTGGTCCGGCGTTTAACAAACAAACATATAAATCAAAAGTCGTATCAAGTTTCAAAAAGCTTTGCCAGTTTGGCACCCACTCGTTCTTCCCTAGACTGTAAATGAGTCACCGTTTCACTTTCCTTCCCGAGCGAGTCATTTAAAGCCAATGCAAGGTTGTCGTCTTCTTCCTCTTCAGCCATCAACCTCTTGCTGAGAACAAAATAGTCGTTGGTCAACGTGGTGCGGCGAGTTTTCACTACGACCTTCTCGATCACCTGTAGGAGATCCCTCTGCACTATCTGCAGCTCCCCAGATGATGCCAAATCTTTCAGATTAATGAATACACATCTGTTGTTACATTCATCAAGGAGATGCGCCAAGGTGTCATCCTGTGCTTTTGCAGTCTCGATGGAATTAGAAAATGACAGTTCCGAACGTGCTTCAAAAACGTCATCATGAATCAGGGCAACAGCAGCGTAATTCTTGATCGTGTTACTTCCAAGGACACTCCTCAGAAGTTTCAGCGTATTGCGGTCCTGTTTGTGCATATTTTTGTCGATGTATATAACAAAAACGATGGCATGGAATCCAAGAGGGGCGTAGGCAATGGAGGTACCGATATCACTCAAGCATTGCCCTGGTAGCGATTGGGCAAATAAACACGATGATTTCACTAACGTCATGTCCCCACGAACAGTCCTGGACACATGTACTCCAGCGACGTGTTCCTGATTGGTTTCTTGAAATAAGACCTGTTCCAATACACACGCCTCACTAGATCCACCTTTCTCTAGAGCTAATATGCTGAGGCCAGTCTCATGGTCAGTCGGGGATTCCTTGCATGTGTCAGAAGATGCACAAGGGGGTGTTTCACGACATTCCTCGGAGGGCTGAAAGACAGTAGGTTCTTCTGTTATATGCGATTCATATATAAAATCTCACACGGAAGGTGTCTAAACGAATCACTTGTTTTTAATTTACATAATTGTTACAATAACCAATTCTGATAGGGAACTCTCTCAATCCAATCGTATAACCATGGATAACTTTGATACACACAGATCAAATTTCTATCGCTAATATGGTACAATTACAGACATTGAAAAAATCAGTTTGCTTGTTGCCTACCTGACATGAATAGGAAACTGACAGAACTATCGACAGACCATTGTTATAACATCTATCTTCCAACATACCTGAGGACACTCTGTGCTTTCTTCAGGCCTGTGTCGCTTGATAAACACAGTCACTTCCTTTTGAAACCCACCAATCTTCTTCTTTTCCTTATATACAGACAAAATGTGGGTAAACTGACTTGGCCCATCTCCCGACTCTGTCATGTCCAATCTGCCGATAACATGGTGAAATTCGTCCAAAACATCATCAATGCGACCTTCAAGCTCCTTGTATTCTTCAGACAGTAATTCAGTTAATTCAAGACTCGGGTTCTCGACAAACTTCTCAAGCTGCTTTTTCGCAAAACGCATGTCATCAAATTTCTCATCAACTTGCACCAGGAGCATGTCAAGACTTTTGTCCTTTGTTTGAGTAGGGATCGTTGAGTCAAGGACACTTAGAGGAAGAAGTTCACACTTACACGGCACACCCTTTCCGTTGTTTATTTTCAACATTTCTCCCTTGAATGATTTCAAAACTCTCAGCAGTCCTTCCATATCCCTAGGCATCTCGCAGTCCACGCTTGTCGAAAGATATTCGATCTCCGTTTCAATATCATCTTGAATATCCCTACTGTTCTTATCCAATTTAACCTTGGCCTCGGCAAGCTTAAATCCCCAAATATCTGCCTTGAACTTTGACTCGATCTCTTCAATCTTGGCTCTGTCTGAACCCTTGATACGGATTCTCACCAGCAAGTCCCCACCATACGTGATACTTCGTATAAAATGACTGCCAATAAGGCGTTCTCGCCAGGCGTGTCTTGGGCTTAAGTCTGTTAGAGTCTCAGTAAGCTGGAAGACAAGCGGTGAAATCATTTAAAAGGGAAAGCAAAATCGATAGAACCTTTTTCATTATCAATTGGCATACATTTTGAAAAAAGTACTGGATAAGTGTCATGTATTCTAACTAAACCTTTGGGCACACGTGTCCCAGTTAGTCTATGGCAGCCATAGTTTGAGTTGCGTCCCACATCAGTTCCTAGACCCGTGAAGATTCTGGGGTAGAATAGGTCTTCAGCAACCCATGCTTGCCGTAAAAGGTGACTATGCTTGTCGTAAAAGGCGAATAACGGGATCGGGTGGTCAGGCTCGCTGACTTTGTTGATGCATGTCATCGATCCCAATTGCGTTGATCGATGCTCATGATATTAATCACTGGATTGTCTGGTCCAGACTCGATATATTTACAGACCGCCGTCATATAGCTGGAATATTTCTGAGTGTGGCGTTAAACAACAAACAACCAACCAACCAACCAGCATCAGTCCCTGGCTACAATGATCGTGGGTTCGATCCCATAATCAAATGATTATAATGCCTGATTTGTCAAGAGGTGAAAGGTGAAATGTGTCCTACTCGTGTTCCAGGCTTTCATCAAAGACATATGTGTAATATATGACTAACTTTAGGAACTATTCTTCCCACATAAAGATTAAGCTTCGTGATGTAACTGACATACTATTCAAGGCTGTGTTCAACCCCATTCGCACCCCCACTGAATCTATCGCATGCACTAAAATTATTTTTCTTTATGCCAACTTACAGTTTCAACATGTGCTCTCACGAATATTTCTGTGCATTCGTCTTTGAATTTATCCTCCTTTAGATATGATCCCATTCCCTCAATGTTCAAGATACCAGCTTTGATCTTGAGAGCCACTTCTCCAGAAAGGTCCAATATATTGTTGACATCCTGACTGTTCTTTATGACTTTGTACTTGATGACATTGTGATGTCTTTCTATGATTTTGGGATCGTCAACCAAGTCATCGGGGAAAATATCCAGACCGTTCCCGTAGGTCCGCAGATCAAAGGTCCTACCCAGGGACATCCCGGGTTGATAGAAGACTGTCTCACTCATGACTTGCTGAAATGTAGCATCAGAATGGATTTAGCATGGTTGTTATGTGGCTAGGGATATTTGAATGTGGTAGGATCGAGACATGAAGCTGAATCTCACACGTCGATAATTGTATTCTTCTTTTACATATAAAGGAAATTGAAATTTCCCTAACAACTTTATTCTACTCGATCTTGCATTAATAATATTCGAAAAACAATACTTCGTATTGCATTATAAAATTCCTAAATATATCCGGTCACTCCAAGTCGTTAAAAAACTTGAAAACTTCCACAATCCGCTTATCCCCTGTTCGAATCCCGTATTTATATAACGATTATTAGTTATTGTACACCAACACACGCCAACACACACACACACACACACACACAAACACACGCCAACACACACACACACACACAAACACACACAAACACAAACACACGCCAACACACACAAACACACACACACAAACACACACACACAAACACACACACACACACGAAAATCATGCAACCTTTCAGGTTCAGAGACAGACATATGGAAGGCCAGCCAACACCAAATGAAAGGGAAACACGAAGCTTTGAGTAAGGGATAAAATACGAATCTGAGGTTTGGGTTGGGAGTAAAATCTGAGGATAGCAGTGACCGAGCTAGTAAACCTTAGGGCGCTGGCCGTAGTTTTACTAGCCAGAAGTGTTTTATCAGACTTATGAACCGACGAAACAACATTAATATTTGTTTAATATTTTGTAGAAATGTGCCAGTCTAAAGAAACGCTCGTAAAATAAATATGACCAGGAAAAATAACATGGTACCTTCTCATGAACTACCTATCTGCAACCAGTTCTGCTGATCAGAAAGTTTAGGGTTCGATTCCCGTGATCCATAATGAAAACGTTTTAATTCTTGTCTTTAATTTTAGAACATTACCCGGATGAGGTCTTACAAGGAAAAGGTGTAAGTGAGTACGCTTTTAGCAATATTCAAGCAATATCACGGCGGGGGACACCAGAAATGGGCTTCACATATTGTACCCATGTCGGGAATCGAACCCGGGTCTGCGGCGTGACGAGCGAACGCTTTAACCACTAGGCTACCCGACGGCCCCTACAAGGAAAAAGTAAAACCTCCTTCGGGGGTATTACGAAAAAACAAGTACCGTCCAAAACAATGGCCAATATCCGTGCTGAGTTTATGAACTGCCTTGATAAACATATGTGACTATGCTTGTCGTAAAAGGCGACTAACGGGATCGGTTGGTCAGGCTCGCTGACTTGGTTGATACATGTCATCGATCCAAATTGCGTGGATCGATGTTCATGATATCAATCACCGGATTGTCTGGTCCAGACTCGATTATTTACAGACCGCCGTCATATAGCTGGAATATTGCTAAAAGGGGCGTTAAACAACCAACCAACGAAACCAATGATAACCACATGAGAGAGTGACAGGTTAATGAATAGCATGTGCGTACCTCCCTCTAATCAGCCGGTAGACCCTACGGTAGCAGTACACATAGACATAGTCATTCCATGATAGCAATGTAAACACAAAACAACAGACTTAAATCACTCAAGGTTTCGCAAGCGTTCTATCAGTTGGGCTGTACATGGAGTGCTTTCTTTGAACTTGGAACTATTTATAGCTTGGAAAAACCCGTCGGAAATCCCAAGTACCCAAATATATATCGCCAGAATATTACGTTTTTTCTCCATACAATTATTGAAAAAAACTGAAAACTCGAATC